GTTTTGAGGCCGCCGTGTTCGACCCATCGCTATTGCTGTATCTGATACAATTGGATGTTTTGGTTGTATATTTCTTTAAATGGCATTTTTGTGACTACCCACGGTTCTGTGGTATTTCTGGATTTTAAATAGGTACTACGGCCTTCGGACACTGACAAATACAAAGAGATCCAAAATGCCACATTTTCATGCGTTACAATCTGGGTCGTGTTTTGGGATTCCACGCAATAAAAACCCAAACTATCGTTGTTTAGCACTACCTTTTTCCTCTTTATTCTTTCAAGCATCTGTTTTTGGATAAGCGATAGTTCTACCATGCTGATAAATGGGCCATTTTGTCAATATTTTGAGCTTAAATGTGTATTTCTGCAGCAACTTGCGCCTTTCCCCTCGAGGACGCTTGAATTACTCATTTATTTGGTGCAAAGTTGACGATTTTTTCATATTTCTTGCAGTGTTTTATGGATGAATACGCCACACCCACTGGTGATTCAGCGCTTGATCTTTCTGTCCTTCCTGAATATGATCATTCCTCGGCTGATATCTCTCAGTTCCCTCCCTCCCATGTAATTATGCTACCTGCTAGCGCCATAACCATATCAGGTTCCGATAACATTCCTTTTTACATATCGTCTTCCGGTAGGTCTATTGGTGTTCTATTGTTCGACTTTTTTATGTCCCTCCCTGTTGTGTATTGTCTATGTGACAGGTCAGTTGATTCTTGCGAATACGACTGTTGAACGTGTAAATGAGGGCCTTGTTTTTAAACAAGCTCCATTAACTGCAATGCCAGCACCATGTGCAGCAGCTGAACACGAACCCCTTGAGCAACTGGAATTTAATGAGAACTCTGAACCTGAGGTGTCAAATGATGCTGAGCAAAAGCTTCTCAATCAAAAAGGTTAAATGCGTTTATCTTAGCAGATTCAACCTCTGCATGTGAACTTGGCCTTATTTCGTGCTCCTTTTTAGTGAAAAAGTTAGCATCCAAAATTTCGAAGGACGACTTTACTACTAATGGCAACATTGTAGTCGGTGAATACAATGTGACAAAGTTAGCTCTTCTGGCGGACCGTCTGAAGCGTTATCGCACCACGAGGACTCTTTCACAGGCAAAATTGAGTCGAAAAATCGCTGAAACTACTTCTGGTGGACTCAAATTTAGCCAGTCATTTTTGTGCAGGTACCTATTCCTTAACTTTTTACTTTTAGCCCGTCTGTCTCTACGAGTGCTATTTAGCCCTTTTTTATTCACCCACATTATTATTTTCGGGCTCTTGTGTTGGTACGGCTTTTAGCCAGCGCTTAATGCTACTAGCACCGACTTTTTACTTACACATCTCAGTAGCAAGTAGTATGGGGGAATGTATTTTTTCCATTTTCAGTGTTTTTTCCCGTTCTGAGAGCGTTGGCGTTTTAAGTCGTTGAGTTACCCTTTTTGGCAATCGTAATTTCACCCGAAATAATGATATGACAGTACTCCTGGTGTCGGTAATGTTCTGCGCCCATGTGCATACATTTTCATCTACGTTTTTCTAGAGTCCTCGCCGGAATATTTGAGATACCACCTTTATTAATTTTACTGAAAACTTAAAAGTAGTTTTTAGATTCCGGTCGGTCTATCGCCTTTGTATTCATTAACGCAGTTTTCACTTTCTCATTATCGCTAAGGGGATCATTTGGAGGCATTTCATGCGCCTAAGTGGCAAACTAATCACAGCAGCCCTTTGTTGTACTCTCACCTTGCATTCCAAACTATTTAGCTTAAAATGTTTGGGTTGCGGAGAATGAGTCCGTCAGTTCTCAGTCCATGGAGTTTTCACCTGTTTTCGTGCTTAAAATACTGTATCCAAATTGCGATCATGCTTTTGTACGCAACTAGCGTTTAAAAACTGGTTTTTCCCCACAACGCCCTCTTAAACCTGGGATTCTGGGAATTGGTACGTGCAACGATTTGAAGAGTTTGGTGTTTGTTTGGGTAAGTAGCTGGTTTTGTCTTTCGGTGTTAGGTTTGAGAAGCTTGACGTCACTCTGCGGGCTGCACTGGGAGCCCAACTCTACTTGGAGCAGTGGTTGGATCAGGTCGAATTGGAGGAGCAGGAGGCTCTGGGTACCTGTCAGAGGTCGCCCCTCCACTCCAACGAAGCCATGATAGATCTCTTGGACCTCCGTGAAAGGACCGTGAGTGAGGCTGACCTCGAACCTCCAAAGTGTTTCCTTCCTGCTCGCCGCAATCGCAAGTCCCGAGCAGTTTTTAGTGAGGCTGCCGTCGAACGGATGATCCAACACTTTAAGCGTAACTCTAGACCACGAGGTTAGTCTCTACGCCGACTTTTCAAGCCTTGATCATTGAAGTAGTCAAAAAACAGGATGAATTGCTGTTTTAGGAGAAGAACTTTCTCGACTGGCGGACTCGATTGGTTATGAAAGGGAGAGTGTAAGGATTTGGTTTTCCAACCGTCGTTATCAACTTGGGGTAACGCCAAAGCGTTGACTAGGTGAAGGCTCTGCTTGTATTTACTCATTTCATCTATAATTATCATATTGCCTTTTCCTTCGCCTTCATCATTTTCTCTACGCCCTTTGGTTTTTGGGAATGTTTTTACTTTATCTTGAATTTACTTAACCGGTAGCTCTCACTAGCCTTTTTTTATGAACCCTAATGTCCTTATAATTCGCAGCGATGTCTGCGACAGCTGTCACGCATTCGCTTAGTTCTTTGGACCCCCTGCACTTGAACATTCTCCACAAGTATCTTTGCTACTCATATTGCGACTACCTGCTGCTTTGTGCAGCGCTGAAGCGTGATGGCATTGTTAATGACGTCCGCTTCGAGATTGTCATCACACTCCAGATGTCTATCCGCCACATCAATCAGTATTTCGGCATATCTTCATTCACCTCGCTTGCCTCATCTAATTATGATGTTTGAGTGCTGGCCATTAAAGGTTCTTTTGTTTGAATTGAAGGCGATTCTTCTTTCGTTACTCGATCGCTCCTTCTTCTACGCACTGCAGTCAACAAGTACAGTAAAGTACTTGTTTACAATTTCTTGATTTCTCGCTCTGAGAATTCGTTTATTTATATGCTGCTCACCCCTTTTTTGTCCTTTAGTACATTTTTAAAACTTTCTTTGCGTCAAGTAGTATGTGCTACTTTGACTCTGAGTTGTGTATTTCGATTCTTTTACGATTTGATAAAGTTGAGTGAAGTGGTTAGGTCGTACTAGAGCTACTTTAGTTTTTTTGCTCATTTCAGTTCGTCACTACGGTATTTGGTTATAATATTGGGTTTCAGTAAGTATGTCGTTTAATCCTCTGGCAAACATAATTCAGTGGCATGTAATCATTATTTTGGACTTCCAAGTGGACGACGCGTTTTTGCTCTTGGTTCGAATGTGTGTTCAAATGGAGTTGTTAAATGAAGGATTATTTTTTACCCGAAGTGTCGCTTGATCTCCGCTTGGACCAACAGCATCCAGTTCGAGTGGGTATGTGGAAGTTGCGCACAGAGTATTACGCTGCTGTCACGTAGATGTTTCTTTTCGTTACTTTTTTTGCTTTGCTTTGACGTTCCAGTGCTTGTTGGCTGTAGTAGCTGTTAGGCTATTGTTTACGTTTTTCCCTCTCGGGTCTATTTTTTGTTGTCCAATCTCAAAGGCTTAGCGCTTATGGGCGATGTTATTTGGATGACAGCTCCTAGTATCAAGTCAACACCTTGTCGTAAATTATGCTTATCAACTGAAGATTGACACGGCTCCAAGCTTTTATTCATGAATTTAGGAATCAGAATACTTTCGTCAATCCAATGATCTATTAACGAAATAGTTGAGGGCTCTGTGGCTTCCAATTCACATAATTATCTAGAATGGTTTTTTTTCCTTTTGCTTATTTCAGCAGAGGGATGTCTACCTCCCATTGACTGCTCCGCTCTTGCTTACCTCATTCTACTTTAAGCTTATATAGTGGTTTGGCTGTCAGCGTTCCCTCCTCTCTGATTTCACCTTGTAGTTTTAATTTTAAATAAGAAAACGCGGTCTATGCAAATTTATCGGGAAGCCTAGCCACAGCACGCATTCTTAATGGGAGGGGGCCTGGGAACCCCAAGAACCAGCGCCTCATGCGTGCATCTGTATGGCCCCGTAAATTACGTATGTGCATTTCAAATGAGGCGGGTGACCCATCACCATGTCAAGATGGCTTTTTCCCAGTATACCTTTTATGCAAAACTAACCCCGCTGTCACTAATTGTGTTACCTGAGTCAATCAAAACGATAATTCGATAAGACCTTAGAGTGGCGCTTTATTTCGTCGTGAAGATGTCATGTTCAGGAGTCACATTCCCGTTTCATCATTTGCCTTATGTTTATGTTAAGACAATGGTCTTGTGGATCCTCCTAGGCATGTGATCACAAAAAACCGTGTGCGTAGTCTAGCTTTCGCGATCTGTTTATGTCCAAGACGCATTAATCAATTCACTCACCTTCAAAGATCATGTCCAGCTCCTGAGCCCCCCTGCATGGTTTGCGGTACCGACGAAGGTGTTCTCCGAAAAGGTTTTATGAATACCAGGTATAAATTGGTTTAATGGTGAAGTAGATGGCTAACCAATTTACGGTTTTTCGAGTTCATATATTCCATGGGCAAGGATAAGCTCGTGAGCTATGCAGACCGACATCTGCAACCTATGCTGAACCACTGTATGGACTGGTTTTCTCATGAATAGTAAGCCATTTTGAAGTTCAAATGCCCCACAATCGAAATTCACTGTAAAATAAACAAGTTGGCCCTATGAATCCTTTAAGGAATGAAACTCCCCCGTTTTCTGTTTTGAGCATGTTTTTCCAAAGTACAAAGTGTAAAGATTGAAAATCACACTCCTACACCTACTCACATTGGCGCGTAAGATTTTGATGATGCTAACCTGAACTAGTTGTCTTCAAATGTTAGCGCATTATGTTAATTATGATGCAGTGTATTCCGGACGTCAAGACTATGTACGCCTTCCCTTGCATGTTCAGGTTTTGCACCTAACATCCTATCATATGCATACGGGCCACTATTTTTTAACAGCATCAGAAACCGTGATGGCTTTGGCGTTTCAGAAGCCCGGTGCTAGCGCTGTGCACGGGAAGGCAGAGGTGGGAGGAGCTATCGATTTGTTGTCCACCGACGGACATCAGACCAATCAGGCGGTAGGGATGCTATTTCCCGTTTGATTGGTCGCAGGCCTTGCAATGCGCTTAAGCTTACGCCGTTTTTTGCGGTTCCCCAAGTACAGACTGAATACTTCGAACCGGGCGTCTTCCTGTTGCCCTTGCGGTCTCCTGCTAAAAATTTAGGAATGAGATTGATTTTATCCAGTGGAAACATTTTGCAGACGATATAGATTGTTGGCATGTGATGTGGGGTTGTAGTTATTGTTTCCGCATACACATGGCAGCTGTGGCGTGTCTTGGATATTTTATTTGGGGAAACTATGATGAATCGACCTTACTCTTTGAGTAGGTTGGTCTTGTGGAAAATCCTGTCTGAAGGTAAAGGAACAGTTGAGCTAAATAATTCTGCCAAGTAGGGATTTTATGGGAATCATGTCTCCTTGATCGCGCCATTTCTCACCGCTCACTACCGCATCGCGCGAACAATTTCCACGGGTCGGGTCGCTTGACTTCTGCGCACTAACTGACGCGTTCTGCAAAGCCTGACTGTCGGGATGGACTAAGAGAAATGAAATAACCGCTTCCCCAGCCGCCACTTCCAGTCCTTCCCTCTCTCACAGCCATTGTTGTCAGGCCATCGAGTCACGGAGATAACTTAGGAGGAACCGGATTGCTAATCATTTTTAAAACCACTACGGCTCCCCCCAACGCTTCTCCCATCTCGTGGGAGCACAATTAATGTACTTCCTTCCCCTCTTCCAGACGAGATCGGCTGTCATTACGGTGCTGTGTTTAAATAGCAAAACTGGCATGCGGAATATAGTCTGATTAGTCTATGAGAATGCTAATCATTTGATGTGGGGACGGCCTTTTTCCTAAACTGATAGTTTGTTAGTTTGGGGCCTATAAATGAATGACGTATGCATTGGGAAGATCCTCTGAGGGCGAGGCTAGCTTTCTTTTATCTTCGAGTTTGGATGGTCAGTGGTCTGGTCCAAAAGATGCCTAGGATTCTCCTTTAAATGGAAATCAGTAAGTCATGGGCGAGGCCCTAAGAACGACTTGGTGGGGTGTGCGTGCCCATACATATTTTCCCTCCGATCGCAGGGGGTGCGGGCGAAGTTAAGGGTCTCGGCGTTCCTTTTACACTCTGCTTAACTTATCAGCCCACCAAGCCGCATTCCGGCGCCACGAAAAGACAGCCACTCATTCTTCTTCTCTTTTTAACACTAACGTGTGATGGTGGGCAAATGGGGGCTCAAGTGTCTACCTATCTATAGCTTTGCTCATATTGCGTATTTGAGGGTTTTTCACAGATAAAGATTGACGCTAATTGAGTTTGGAATCCCGTCGGTTTTAACCGTCTCTTAGTTGAGGCAAACAAATCTTAATTACATTATCGAAGTAAAACATCTTTCAATTTAGGGATTATTTAGGGTTGTGCTTAACTTTGCATTTGTTATGTTCTGAATCAACTGTCAGGGATCTGTTACGATCCAGTAAGTCTACTTGAGTGTAATTCCCATCACTCCGATTTCCTTGTTTATTACTGGAGCTGGTCTGGTAGTCCTAAGGAATTCCCTACTGTACCAGCTAATGAAATATTATCAAAGGCAGTTTTGTTAAAAATAATGATAATAATCCACTAATGTTTCGGTCGACGTAACTGCATTTCGGAAACACAAAGCATATCCCCCGGAGGCTAGTGCGAGCAAATGATATTGAACATACGGAATGCCCTACAGTCAGTTCGTACATTTCAAGGGGTGGCATTTTAATGCAACACCAACAATAATGGGAAAGAAGGTATAGTTAACTTCTTTCAGTTTCCGTAGTGGCAGGAGTCTTATGTTTTTTTGGACGGTGGTTGATTATTTAAGCACATCAAAGTTTCCTTTCGCATTACTTCTCTCTTTAAAATGGTGGCACTTTTATGCCGAGTGCAAAATAAATTATTAAATCATGCACCCATAGCACCATTTTACTTGAAAAATGCTAGTTTTATCCTCCCAAACCGAACTAAGGTGAGGATCACTCTTCTGCAGAAAGGGGGATTTTTAAAAGGGTAAACAAATGGATTGAGCTGATGGAGTTGGCCTCCAGCGGACTTTTGACTGAGGCCTTGGTGAATGCTAAACGCTCACACACATCCATTCGCATTCTTCTCAACACTGTCCACAAAAGCCTATGCATAGTTCAGTTTGACAAAGTAGTGCTAAATGCTTAGTAAAAATGGATTTTGTAGCGAGTGGTTGTCATTTTGTTCCAGACAGCACCAAATCTTATGCACAGGGATAAAGAGATGAATTCTGGTCAGCTTACTGACTGTAGACATGCCAGGGACCAACTGAATGGCAGGTTAAGTGTGTTCCGCTAATAAGTCCATTTGTACAGTTTCTGCATTAATGCCATAGAAGCTAATTTTCAATAATACAAGCGACAGTATGTGGCACCTTAGAATGGATTTCGCGCATGTGACCCTACCACAAGCTTAAGCACAGCAACAATGTGGACTTTTTAGCGGAATTCGATCATTTACGAGAACCATACAAACACAACTTCAAAAAATAGCTTATGTACTGCTCTTCAATAGCTCAAGGACAACATTCGGTTTAAAGTTGTTCGAACTAACCTAACAGAGTACAGGGCGGAACTGGAGAGCCCAGCGATTTCATCCAACGCGCCGCTACCCCTTTTTATCCTCCTGAGAATTACCCCACTCGCTGCCTATTGGCTGTCATCCCTTTCGTAATATGAATAAACAACTGTTTTCCCAGTCTCGGGTTAAACTTACTATGCCGCCGAGCCTTAACTACTGGAGTATCCTAATCCCCTCCCACTTAAAGTTTTTTGCCTATTTCATATCACAATTTTCAAAATTCTACCCTGTTTTATTCCTTTTGCATAAGTGTCCATATTCGGTGGCCATCTACAGTAGGCAAGACAAATACTAGCACAAAATCGTCCACCCATGCTACCTTTTGCCATAGCTGCATGGGGTTATAGTCTAGGCGCTCTCAACACCGCTAAACTACGCATTCCACAATATTCCACCTCGCAGCCGCCATATACACTAAAGGTAGTGCCAACTGTCTCCATTTAATCGCTATTTTTACTTGGAAATTAAAACGGCGATCGGGCTATTCTGGGAATTTATAACCAATCCGTTCCACAATTCCCCGAATGGCCCAGAAGCCAGGTCATAACAATGGAGAACATCAAATGATGCTAAAATCATGCAGTCGCCCAATGGTCTTTGCTCTCCATTTCTTGCATGTCCCTTGGGGACATTTCGGAATATAAAATATCTAAACCCTCTAGAAAGCTAATAATAGCCTGCACCCAAGGGAACGTTCTCCCCATTTCGTTTCCTGTTATGAAGCGAATATTGAATGCTATTTGAGAGCGTTTGACACTCTAGAATAACAAACATGGTCCATAACCCTATTAATTTGTTAAGATAGTGGGAGTGATAAAAAGACAGGCTTGTCAAAACTAACTAAAGTAGGCCTGATTCGGTGGATAGATAAGCGAGCCCGGCTGTTCCTAAGATAGTAGCCAGCAGCCTGGTCTGCGTAAGTGCTCCCTTATGAATTGGGCTGCAAGATTGCTAGGCTAACAAGTCGGCCCAAACTGTACCAAAGCAAGTTTGCAATTTATCCGCCAACATCGAGCGATGCGTGTGTTGTGTTAGATGAAAAATTAACCTAGGTATTCAAACCCGCATTGCGGGACTTGCACTACACCACAAATTCACGGCAAACGATACAGTGATAATTCACGAATCCTATGTGCGCATAGCACTCAAAATACGCATGATTATTTAATCCAGATTTCGGGGTCAACCGCCTGTGTGTTGTGGAAAAGGCTGCAGTAATGGCGGTATCCTAGTTGTAGCTTACCGGCTGTACCATTTCTCGTACTGTCCTGTAACCGACGTCCTCTACTACGACGTAAACTGATTCAGCATAAACGCATGAAAAATAAATGGATCTTGTTTATATGCAAAATCTGATATTCACTGTGATCTGTTTAGAAATCTGGTCGAGACGAAAAATCTAATAAGATAAAGCAATGGAGTGTAAAAGCTAAAAATCGGTCGATGTCGATCAGTGTCTATTACCATCCTCAATCGTCTAAATCCGTGATTATCAGGAACTTCAGTGAGCCGAATAAAACAGATTTTATTCTCACCCACTTTATACCTACTACGCAGGATCAAGGGATTCACGTAATTGTGGGGTTCACCCAGCGTGCTCCATATGCACAAAGCGTACCGCACATCGAAGTTTACAAAGGTAACCCAATACCCACCCACTCCTGTCGTTTATCACCTCAAGGCTGCCTGCGATTAGCTGGTGAGAGGCGCATGGATGTCAGTGCTTTGTGACGGGGACGAGCGTATTTCCCGACGAGTCCTCTCACTGTCGAGGTCACGTGGACGGAGACCATTCATGTAGTTGCATTGCAGCCGGCTCGAAGTAACGCTTCGTTGCGCTTAAACGAATTGCTGCCGCACTCCTCAAACATGCAACGCATGTCAACACTGAATTAAATGTGGTTATGCACCAGAGAGGACTACATTTATAGAACTTCCCAATCAACATCGTGAACCCGATGCATGTGCACGCGCGTTCGCGTGACTTTCATGCTTGTGGGATCTCTCGATTTATTACAGCTAATAAAATACAACTTTTAGTTTTATGGGCCATTGATACCTCGCCTGTAAGGCTATTATTATTTTCCTTGAACTAGCTAGCGTAAAGCAAACAGGCTCGGGCGAATAACAAATGTTTCCATGGTATTATTTGCGCTTATTAAAGAAGCGCAATTGCATTTCACATTACTGATGCTACTAATGCGTTTGCGGCTTTACAATGAACTGGGCGACAACATTCGAACAATATTTGCACGGCACGATGACCCCGACAGTCTTACGCATTCCACTCTTGTATCCCAGCTGCCGTAAGATTTGGAAACTACCCAAATTGACTTGCATTGGTATTAGTCACAGCTGAGAATTCTCATCAACCCAGCTACGGCATTATTTTAAGCGTTCACTCAGATTACAGCTGAGGGTTGCAGATCACAGACCGGAACTGTCCCCCTGGGTCCGAAGTAGACCAATCCATGCTAATTATCGACGCAAAGAGGTAGCAATGGTAACCATCGAGACACGTATGCAAATTAAACCAGAGCTGGTGCGCTTGATACGATTTTTTGGGGGTAGGATTTATGAGGCTACTACTAAGGAAGGCTTACTGATTGTATCTTTACCCATGAAGAACGCGTCTTCATTGCGAAACGAAAAGGGGCAATAAGTCTGCATTATTTGATAAAAGGTTCGAGAACGTTGATGGATCTCCCGAAGCTCAGCGATAGACAATCCAGTACAACAGAATGAATTGGATTACACAAAATAAGCTAGCGTAGATAACTATCACTTCTGGCAGAATAGCTCTTCTAAACATAAAATAAACGCAGGCCCCGAGCGTCTTCTTAATCCACAGCCATAAGTCTGTTCAAGGAATTTCCAACAGACGATCAGTAGTCAATCTCTGGCCTCATTTGTGAGGTTTAGGATGCGTGAATGTAGTTCTGAGTGTTTACTACCCCGGAGGATCTCAATGAAGCACTTCAATTTCGGGAAGGCAAAAAAAACTTTATTGCAGCCTTACGACTGTGGCAAAAACACAAGATTGGAATGCACAATCGTCTAAACTATGGCTGCTGTGGAAACAGTGGCCTCATCAGAGCACACAACTGCAGACCATTGCGTCTCCAATGTAGACGAATCTAGAGGTTCCACCTACACTCAGCCCAACACAGAAGTGACGTGGGAGCGGAAGACACATTGAAGGGCGGAACTACAGCTTTGTCCCAAAGCAGGCCGGTGAAAGTGGAGTTACACGTTTGCCAATCTCATGGAATGGGGAACAACGGCCACGAACATCAAAATCCGCAACAGACATCATTAACCAAATGAGTCTGGCAAGACAAGCTCACGGATGCAATTCCAAGTCACCTCCAATCACGGTAAGAATCACCCAGATAAATTCAGAGCTAAAGAATTTAATGGAACATTTGAAATTTTCGTAAGAAGATAGTGACAATGAACTGAGATTCGGAACAATAAACCATCCACCCAAAAGTGGATCGCTTGTTAGTCAAAGGATAGGAAATACTACTTAGGAACTCCTGAAGCAACGCCACGGGTCCAAGAGAGACCCATGTAGATGATAAGAAGTAAAAGCACAGAAGTGCCCACTTGCAATAACTAGATTAGTCCATGGAATTTCTCGCATAGAAAACCCTACGATTGTTTTGTATACACACGAAGTGTGTACCATGAAAACCAGACGCTCATATTTTGATGACAATGAGAAGTTAGTTCTAGCAACACGAAGTTGCATCCCAGTACCAGCATGAACGACAGGACCGCCACCTCTGACTCCGCTGTAACATACGTAAATCCAAAATTCTTTAATGCACACGAAGTGGTTTTTGGCTGGAGTCGCATCTGCCCCTCTCAGACACCCGCCAACTTGAACGACCCTAATTTGACCTAGCCGCCCATGAGTGCCATCTCGTCACCACCTTCATACAGCCTTGCCTTTTAGCGCGCACAAAACCGTCAAAAAGGTCGGGGTAGCGTGACTTTTCCAAACATTACGATTTCCAAAATAAAAACGTGCATTAGAGCAGCCATACCCAACGCAAGGAAGATAGGACGGTCATCGACGCACTGATTAAACAGTTTGCTACAACCCAAGCGAGGTCACCACACAGATGCATCATGAATAGACAAAGAATCACTTGAAATTTGTAAACTAGTTCCAGAACACGAAAAACCCCAGACACATAATGCACGAGAATTGCGGACGCCGCTCACATACACGGATGGTGATCGGAATGGGTGATAGTGATGTTTGTAAGCCCCGGCCGAACTATCAATCAGTAGTTCGCCTCAAACCCAGACCAAGCGTCCGGACACCGAACCAACTCTTCAGGCAAGCTAAGGAAGTAACACGAATCCCGAGTCTACTCAAATCCCTTTAGCTGATGCAAAAGCCCGATGACAGACACGGTTCTACAATCTCGGGTACCCAAATACCTACGTAAGCAAAGAGGGGCAGCTATAACATAAAATAAGGCTGGGCGGAAGAAAGCCAGTGAGGTGGCCAAAACAGAAAACCGAACTCACTCATACTAATCATAACAGCAGTGATAACCGCAACCACAGCGAAAGCAACGCGGGGTGGACTGAACGCCACCTGCACAAGAACCCCTGAAAAACACGAAGATCGAGTGAATTGTGTGAGCAACCCTGACTTAGGATTTGAAAAAATAGTTTTAATACCGAGAAGAATCAGATAGTTTGTATTAAGTCCAGATGGAGATATCAAAATCGATCTACTTTTTGTCCGGGCACTTCAAGAAGCCAAAATGGTCCAACTGTACAATAAAACGACGCACATCGCTCATCCTTTATCGGCGGAGATCGCAGTAAAAATTCACAAGAGCACAATATTGCCGATTAGATCTACAAAAGGAGAACGCATGCATACACCATTCTATCTGACAGGGATTGCATTTCATATGCTCATAATGACCTCTTCCGTAAGACAAACCAAACAATTTCCCCCCACGCGAATCTGTGCGAGCGAGGATAAGATACCAACTCACGAAACAGCGCCTTCGCATATAGAAATCTGCGAGATAGTTGTGATAGTTTAATTTACGGGAGCAGATAGTGATTTCCAGGAACACAATTACCAAAGTTATCGACTTCGCAAGGGGCAAAGGAGTACGACAGGTGCCATGGCGACCGGAAATCCACGAGATGCCAAGAGCAGAGCGGAAGACAGGTGCGTGGGGTTGACCTTGAAGCCGTGGGGCTACGTAATGGAGGTTAAAACATAAAATTGCAACTATTAATTCATTTACAACTGTGCACCTTCTACTTAATGCATTTTCCTTTTAAATTAGATACGCAGTAAAATGCACCAATTTTGTTTGTTGTACAGCCACCGATTAAAGATTTGTTTAACCGTAGAAAGTAGCAATTTTACTGACCAATAAACTATTGAAATTTACTAGTCGCTGATTGGGTTTTGCTTACTATATATGTCACCAACTTGGGTCGCCAACGCGCATATCTTGCCCTCCTGGCGACGTTGTGCGGTTTGTGATGCTGGCTACTGTTAGTAGGAGTCACTTCCCGTCTAGTATTTCAATGTCAATTTTTCCTCCAACGACGATCCATGGTTTCCAAGAATGGGGTTTGAATAACCGAGATTGCTACCCTTGTGAAGACGAGCCTATGCCGTATGGCATAAGGCCTCTATGCAATCCAAATTTTCCGACGCTCTGTCCTCAGACTTCTCTTCCGGTATTTGCGTGCTTCTATTTATTTTCTTAGGCTTTTCCCAACTATGCCTCGGCACATCTATTACCGCTGGAGCATCAGTTCTACCCCAACATTTCTCCTCTCTTTGGTGTTGATTCTGTAAGTTACTTTTGTGGACTCATTAGGATCACTAGTTATCTGAAGATAAGGTGGATGCATCAATGCGAGACGAGTCTTTGACGCGCCTTTTATCACTTCATCGCGCCTATTACGATTTGTCTCCTGTCATTTTCTGCAAGGCTGTCTGTCTCGTTGATACTTTTATTACTCGTGTGAAAGTTAAGCCGAAGTACATGATGTGCGTTGCAACGGCCTGCTACTACATCGCATCGAAATTTGAGACCGGCAAAGTATGTATTGTACTTGGTACAGTTTATCAACAGGCGTCAAACAACTAATGAGGGTATTTTCGTCCTTTAGCAACCCCGCCCAACTGTTGACAGTCTCGTACGCCTTACTCGTTGTGGCGGGTCTGTCGCCGACTTGGTCAGGATGGTGGACATTGTTTTAACAAAACTTGGTACATCAACGGTGACGGCCGTTGGTGCGACGTCTGCCACTACCCTCGACTTTCTTTCCGCATTTATGAGTGATACAGGTCTCAAATGCGTCGACCTTCCTACTTTTCTCGTTCGACAGGTCGAGAATGCGCTGTGCGCGACGAATTCGGCTCTCTTTCGTCCTTCCTGTTTGGCTCTGGCTCTGTTGCTGTCCTACAAACAGAACGTCCCGCCGGTTTGTGTGAATGACTCTGAGTCTTCGGCTTATAAATCTCTTCAGAGCATCGACCTGCGCGATTTGTTCACAATGGCAAACCTCGGCAAGGTGAGTAAGGTTCTGTCAACGTTTGCGTCCTATCCGCGTCGAATGGTTGGTAAAGCTGCTTTTGTGCAATAGGTGAATTGGGCCGACGTGGAGGCGTGTTCTCGAACCCTTTTTGAGAACGGGACTCTCAAAAGTTACTCGCCAACGAGGTCCCCAGTTTCTGCTGCAGAAGTGGTATGGAATCTGTCTAGACGCACCCGTCTGAATCTCTCTGGGTCTGCACCACCATCACTAAAAACAATCTCGGAGTGGACAGAGGAGGATGAAGCTTAGGCATGGTGAGTACGACTGCTACATTTAGTCTTCTGTATGTTGTTTGGCGGGTCGGTGAGGGTTAGTTGGAGTTGTTTTAATCTTTAGGTGACCAAGTCTGGTGATACCTGATACCTATTGCGCAAATCAGTCAGTCTAACCCCATTTCAATTTTCAAACTTTATCAGCCTTCTATTCTGATTATTGAGGCCTCCTATGGGAAGAAAATGTGAAAATCAAGGCAGCCTTTATGCTCACAGGGTATCTGATGCCTGACTACAACGTTTATTCGAGATCTAGCTGTCCTTGGCTAAAAAAACGTGATTGTACAGTCACCTTTGTAGTAATATCTCCGGTTATTTTGCTATTCTCATGCACAACATTCAAGGCGCCACCCCTGTTTTCATCCCTCGTTTTCCCTCCCGACATGCAACTTGCTCCTCCCAATCATTAATTTTATGAAAATGTACAAAAATAATGGACCAGTAAGACGCTATCTGTGTTTGTCATTGGCGCAAAGGTGGCGTTTTCAGCCTTCTCCCTTACTACCTTCCGCCGTCCAAGCCACTTTATGTTGTTACCCGGGAAGTCGGGCACATGCGTACTGTCAATTTGCATTTACATTAGAGTCTTTTATTTAATATCAGTTGTTGCTTTTAAATTTGGATGTTGCCGACTCAAAATATTGTCTTTCAAATAGGTGCAATAGAGCATTGACTTTTCTCCAGTCTCTTTCCTTCTGCGGTTTGCTGGGCTTTGAACATGTCATATGGCGTCCACGGTTGTATGGTTGGTGCTTGTCTGTGTTCAGTCGTCGAATTTGTACGCTTGCTGGCGAATAGTTGGGGCGTGTATCCCGCGCAGCGAGGTCTTTAGGAACAGCTGGCGAGCACGGCTGCCGCGGGCACCATAGTTGAGGCTAGTGGGCTCCCCATATTTTGGGTCGAAGTAGTGCCGTAGCGGTAGGCCGGGGTTTGTGTGGAGCCCCTAATTTTAGGATCAGGTTTTGCGGCTGCGCGGCAGGATACGCTTTAATGTTTCCTGGTGCATAGACCAGAAGGGACGATTGTAACACTTATCCTGTTAATTTCAGTAAAATTTGATATAAATAAGTGAGTGGTCAATTCTGACTCTACAAGGTGCCTTAGGATGGCCAGAGGACAGTTGGGTCTTGTGTGCTTTCAGATAGCAGTGATCTGCAAGCCATGCTAGAGTTAATTAGTGTGCATCCCACTTCTTTTGTTTCAGGCACGATGGTTTTAATTTGGAGGACTTCCTCAGTGTTGGTATCCATATGCGAACGAACGGTAAACCGGACGTGATGATTTTGACGCTTTTCATCTCAACTATCAATCATGAATAGGAAATTGGGAATTAAGCGTTTCGAACATTCCTTTATGCTGCTCATAATCAAGCGGGTTCGAATACAGTCGCGATGATGAAATCGTGACCCTTTGATCCAAAATCCTTATCATGTGCAGAAAATGATGCCGAAGGAGGTTCTCTTTATTCGTATTATTCCTGTCGAAATGGGTCTTAAACCCTCAATCGTTCTGTCATGCAGACACGCCCAGCTGAATGGCGGTAAATCTCCCTTCATCTGTCACTCGGGGAGCATGCGCATGACATCGCATGTGAAGATTGCGTAAATAAAGACGTGCTCTTTTCTGTGTCAAAAATCATGAGAAGAAAACGACGTTCAGATAAGCAGACGTTTAGGTGTCAGTGAAGGGTTTTACTCTATCGAGAACCATCAAATGAGGTTCGAAAATAAGTAACATGTTAAGGTGTTTAGAACAGTATAGCAAAAAAGTGGTGGATTCCACACAATGCTACCAGGTTGCCATCCAGGAGCCTTGGTAGGTCGCTTCGGCGAAGGTGAATTCTTTTTATCAGTTGGTAGATTAACGACTTTAGATTCTCTCAGATTTGTACATCTAAGCCACCCTCGGAGAATGGTGAGAAATGGTAGGATGGAGTCATTTTCTTCGCGGGTAGTGAGGCGTGTAGACGCGTGAGAGAAGGGCGCGGGTGGGTGAACGTGGCGATCAATTCTCAGCAGGCTGGGGTGTGCACGGGCCCGATGACGTCATCACTGTAGCCCAATAGCGTGATTGTGTACAATCACGCCACGACGCGCGGCGATCGATACAACTTGTGCCACTTGCTGACTCGGACGACGAGGGGTTGAGGTGAGGGCTCCTACTGCTTGTATTAAGCAACAATTGCTTATAGGTAACAAGTATCTGAAAAGATGAAACCTGTAAGTGTCTCGGTTTGGAATTCATGCAAGTGCCCCACTGCAGCAGGTACCCTTTGCTTAAATTGAGACCATTTTCCTTCCTTTGGAACTCTATTGTGTAGCTTTGCTTATTTCGTCTACCCTCAGGTGATAAATAAAAACACATCATAGGGGAAAGTTTGAAGAGGCAAATTCAATGCCAATTTTTTCATCCATTTGAAGGCATTTAAAGTCAGGGGTTTGGCATATTGTAGGCAGTTCCAGTTTCATCAAAATGAATGCTACTACCCAACCCCTTTTTCACAGTACGAAATGCTCGAACCACATAATCTGCTTAAAGTTCCCAACTCAGGTCTTGAGGGAATGGTTTTCATTAATCTGGGATTCAGCATCCAAGATTGTCTTACAAACGTCCTCATTTTATGAATGCGGTTCCACTAGTGAGTCTGTGCCCAAATGTTTTGCAAAATAATTGGTCAAGTTACATTTACCTTTTCAGATATCATTAGTGAGTCTTGAAGCATGGCCGAATCCGGTGGTTGTTGTAACCCCTCTACATCACAATGTAGGTAGACACACCCAAGTAGCACCTCAGAGCATGGTTTTTGAAAGCACAGGTGTGGTTAAGTGTACCCAAAATCACACTGGAGCACTTCAATCTGGATGTCCATATGAACTTTCCATTTTATTTGACCAAATGCACGGGTGAGGTGATGATTACCTGGAAAGAACGGACTAAATATAATCAAAGTAATACCGGACGGATCTATACTTCAGATACCGGAACGTGTAAATCGGAACTACATCTTTTGTGACCAAGATTACCATTTTGTAACCCATCAAAGTAGTGAAACTTGTTATAGACTCAGAGGAAATTGCAGATTACGTAGGGCCTTGTGGGAAAACAGGGTGAAGGTCTGAGAAGAGTGTTTGAAGTAGGTGCCGTTACTTTGAGTTTATTCGTTGTCCTGTCCACAAAACTTGACCATTTTTAGCAATAATTTCTGTGAGTGACCCATCCACTTCGCCAAGTACTGCCGGCGTCACGTCATGTGATAAGAATATCTTAAATTTTACGAGGGCGAAAGTATCTTTCAATTTTTAATTAATTCCCCACAATAGTTACAAGTTCTTTGTGGGGATACCTGACTCATTCAAGTATCTGTTAGGTGGCGCGTATCCTTTGTTCAGAAAAATACTACGATTGGGGAGTCTGTAAGTAGGCAACTGCCGAGGGGAATGCATTTAAGTACCGAAAGCGAAACGCTGAGGTGCATTAGGGATGGCAATTTTAAAGTAGGAAAACGGCAGTAAGTAGGATAAGCAAGACCTAGCATCTACGGGGCACAAGTGGTCCCAACTCCACTGCGGTGTTGGTAACTGGACCGGCTGTCACGGGGCTTCAGGTCAGATGATGCAGCCCATTTGATGGACTGTTTTGATGTTGCCTCACCAGGTACAAGCGCGAATATTGTGGTGATGTGGATCCTACTGACCCGCATTTACGAAGAACTATGTACAACTTGTTGCATTTGCCTTTCCACCACGTTTGCTCACAGTAATTCAGTTTGCGGCAAGGAAAATTGGAAAAGGATAGTACAGGTCTCTACGCAAATCTACTTTTACCTGTGAACATCAGCTACACTTCTGTAGGTGCCGCGAAATAGTTTTGTTATTAGAGCACAGCGGCTTCAGAAGACACGTAACATCAGCGTCATGGCCAAACCGCAGGAGACCCGAAAGCCGCAGTACTCACACATACAATTAAGTCAAAAAAATAGTTACGCCTCTAACTTTACAATGCCTTAAGTTAGATTAATGGAGTAGGAATACGTGGGTCTTTAGGAAATGGCATAGTTTCGGTTTTCCATGACACTTGTAAGTTTGTTTTCGTTTTTAAATGAAGCAATTGTAATGGCCTTACCACAAGCTTACGCTATTTCGGAAAAGGAAATTATTTGTCAAACGACAATGACCAAAACGGGGAAATTCACATGGGAAAGGTGCATAAAGTGGAAAGAAGTTGAGTAGTCATTCGCCAGACGGTCATTTAGTATCTACCGCAGCACTTAACAATGTGCGATCAATTGCGAAAACCTCACTATTTGAACTACTGGTGTGAGCATGAGGGTTACTATAGGGTTACCAATGGCAGTGTTAAGCAAAGTGTCACGGCCCGTTGGCCCCTGCTAAGCTGCCGTGCCTGAAATTCTTGGATCGCAGATTCGCAAATAAAGAACTTCCAGATTGGTCCCCGATTATTTAAAAATTGCATAATACCAAGACGTAATTAGGTGATGGAGTGCAGGAGTTGAGACGGTCTTCACCCGGTGCGTCGGACCCTTGCCGTAGTGACAAAAAAGGCGGTAGCCAGGTGGCCAACTGGTACTTAGGTGAGTCATCCACAATTGCCCGAATGCAGTCGAGTGGATCCTATAAGCGCAAAAGAACATATTTCAGTTCGAAATCCATTAGTGTGTTGGTATTGCCCGATTTCACAATTACGCCTATGAGAAAGTGGGTAACATTAATAGATGTTCTGTTGAAATGTGCCACACTTAAGGTGGAACCATTATATTAACATTAAACAGCTGCATATGAATAGTGTGATTTTAGGAAGGAGAATCCTGGATGGCTCATTACCACTGACCACGTGAATGAATATTTTGGCTTTTAATTTCGAGGCAAACCATGTTTGTGGAGGTGAGCTTCTACACTCGACATTTCTTTAGATGTCCTCTCCATTTATCTAGAGACAAAATTTGAAGGTACAAAAATCACAATACCGGAACATACATGGGCAAAATACGCCATATTTGATGTTGTTTAAAATTATCAAAAGGACAGGAGCCAGCCAACTATTTCGCAATGAGTATTCTCTGGTGCAAAGTGAGCATTACGTGTCACTACTCAAAGAATTTAATAAAAGGCTCAATATCAACAAAGTTGTCTTCACCCTTATATCACATTTCCTCTGCACGTTGGCGCCAAACATACTAGGAGAAAACCCAATAAGCTCCTTTATGCCATTGAAAGTAATTGGAGTAGTAAAGTGAACATTTAAAAGCAGCAAAACACTATATATAACCTTGTCTTCAAGCGCATCGTATTTATACTAGCTACAAGCCAGTTTGAAATGCCAATTTGCAATTTGCGACGTGACATGTGACTGGAGCTGCATTCTCCAGCGTGGCAGTGCCCCGTGCTTTCTGCAAAGCATTTGTTGATCCGGCAAATCGGGCACAGGAAATCGCTTGTAGCTGAGACCAACTTATTTTGCTGAACAAAAACATACTAGCACTTTCCCCTAACAGTAATGTGAGCAAAGATTAAAAATGAAATCTACCTGTGGCTTTAAGTGCGCCGCTGAACGTCCCACTGTATACGTAAAAGTGTGGTGGTGGTCACTAAAACTGCTACCATGGGAAGTCTTCAATCATTTCATTATCTGAGAAATATTTTCACACTCATAATTCATGACACCCTTCGTCTTATCATTAGAGTATCTATCTTTCAGATCACATATATATTCAAAAGTCCACTAAAGTCCTCAGTATTCAATTCAGGGAAAGGAAAAAAATTGCATAAATCACGATGAAACAATTTTTAGTTTTGCTCTGTTATAAAGGGGTTATTCATAACAATATTGAAATGTCTTCACAGGAAATAAATTTTTTCAAAGATCTTTTGCCAAGCTTTACCACAAAAGCAAAGTAGCTAAAAACAAAACCGATCCAGGAGATGGAAACTAGTGAGCTGAATTGGCTATCTTTATCGAACCTCTTACCACTGCCTAGAATTGACCGACTGTACAGTCTAAGTTACCGTCCTTAGACTAATGTCGTATACATATAGGATCTCCAAACATGGCGCAACTTCACATCACAACCCCCAATTCCTTCGGTTTGTTTGTTATAAACCAATTTGTCAGTGGTTACAAAGTGCGTCAGCAACTGTTATATAGTGGATTGGCAATTTTGTGACTTGGTGTTTCTACAACAAAGTTGACCGGATCCCCCTGAGGCCCTCAACCAGATAAGCAGTAGATAAGGTCTTAAGTGCAGATAGCTTTACTGACCACCCGAAAGAGTAGGCAAAGGGGGTACGGCTAGTGCGTACGC